TACGATGATACCAAAGTGTTTCTATTGGTTGGAGATCTGTCAATTGGTCCTCCGTTCGTAAGACGGCGGACGAATTGACAGATCTCCAACCAATAGAAACACTTTGGTATCATCGTACCATCGTATAAACGGATGCATGGGACACAGGCTTTACTCAATCGTTTCAAAAGAGAATAAATTAAACTGAGCGCTATTAGAGGGCGAATTCTACGAAATAATTTGATCGAGTGGAATACCTTTGAACTGTTTTCCTGAAATGTTAATTTTTGTTTCTTCTCCAGCTTTGATTGTGTCGCTAGAGACTGAAACTTTGTAGGGAAAGCGAGTTTTTTGCGCGCTGACTGGATGGTTAGGTGTCATGTTGCCGCATACGGCTTCAGGAGCTCCTGCTGAATAGCCCCAAGCACTCGCCGCCACCGACAAAACCGTCAAAATCATTAGTTTGCTCATGGTGTTCTAGAAAAAATCCAAATTTGCATTAATTAGGAAGCTGCAGACGTAGTCGGTAAACACGTTAAGAAGGCATTGACCCAAAATAGTATTTCAATAGCATAAAAATGAATAAATTTATTTAAATAAGTGGCGTGTTACGTAACGGATTAAGTATCGCTGATCTTTGCAAGGCACGTTTAAAATTGATTGCCGATATTAAGTCATTGATTTGCCTCAAAACCCAGTTCAGGTAAAGTCGATGTGTTGCCACATTCGAACCGTGCAATCTGGTTATATCTTGATTAACAGCAATCAGTATGTCCATACATGTGAGTATGCGATTAAGTGAAATGCCTGAGTTTGCAAAACCGTTTCAAAAAAAATTCTGGATGACAAAATGCATAATTATTGCCCAGTGTAAACATTCTGCTATGCAAATAATACACTTGCATGGGCAAAAGTTATAATATGTAATTATGGAACAGTTATTTCTTTATAGTAAGAGATCGGCTCCGCCTGGTTAAAAACTACTTTCTAGCTTTTATATCGGGAACTTTTTGCATTTAAAATGTCCTTGCTACTACTGTTTTATAATGACTTAGCATAAGAACAGTTACAGTTTTTTTTTAATTTCAATTGAGTCCAATCCAAAAAAAAGCCAAACTCTTCAAATCAAGTTAGAACACGATAATGTTATTTTACTAGTTGAGGAGACGATCGTCTATCGCCTGCAGGCTAAATAATCCCAAATTACCAGAATCCAATTTTTAAAACCCTGCATTTACGGCCCCTTCTATAACATTTGGCTGCTGTTGCTTGTGTTTAGTGAGTCAATACGCCTTAATTACCAAGAACTGCGCTACTGTTTGGTGACTGAAAAATTAACTTTTTTCTATTTCTATAACATAAGCTATAATTCAAAAATGTGATGTACAAAACATACAATTATTCAAAAAAATTGCAAAGTTATTTGGTACTTGTCCCAGTCGATCATCTTGCTTCTGTGCAATGGACTGCAAAAAAATAATTATAAAATTTCTCAAAACCCAAATTTCTGTATGTTGTATGTCGATTAAAACTCTTATTTCTGAACTGAATAAAATCTAAAATAAATTGAATTCATATAAAAATTCATTCAATTTTTCTGATCTGATTTAAAACATTTTTTCTTATCATAACTTTTAAAAATATCTCCAAATCGATTATTTTAATGAAAATGATATGAAGATTTCGTACGTACCTCGAGATCTATATCCTTTAACACACGCAAACTGATACTGTACCCGACAACTAAGAACTTCTGCATATTTGCTTTCAAATCTATTCATCAGTTGGAGGGGGTGGGCAATCGTTAGTGCAACTTTTAATTAGTTAATTACATAATGAGACCAGGTGAAACCCAGTTAAATTTTGAATGTTGATTTATATATAGGGCGAGCAACTTTATGGCCATGTTTTAACAGTTTGTGGCATTTTAAACGCGGATAATGTTTGATCAACCGTTTAGTTACATTATTTTTTATTAATTTCATTCGATTTTTGTAGATATAATTTAAAGCTTAGAGGAAAACGGGAATTAGCGCAACATTTAATAAACGTATATAAATATTATAATATAAAAAACGAGTGTATTTTTTACATAAATTGACCCTCATCGCGGTATATTAATTTGAGGTCGTCACCGTTAAAAGCTATGCAAATAAACGCGTATATTATTAGTAGTAGAAAAACAAACACAAGTTATTAATATGCATATTTAGCATTTATTGATATTGCAAACTTACTTGCAGTATTAATAATAATAGTCATTATAAACTCTGCTAATTTTAGCAATTTATTCAGTGTTCTATGGAATTAAAAATGTAAACAACAACATCAGATTTATGTTGAAAGTCATAAAAATCAAAAATTTTAAACTTTTTTATTTACTTAATTGTAACACTGTCATAAATTGTTAACTATGTGGCATTTTGCTAGCTACACTGGCTTCCCGTAATGGTTGCTACTGGAACGCGTTATAATAGGCAATAAAAGTAAATAGATAATTTTTTAACGTGATTTCAAACTCATCATTTATTGGACCATTATAGTTTCATTAAACTGATATTATCTATATCTTGTTTGACGAACGGCGGAAAAAATGGAAAACACCTCAAATGAATCATTAGGCACAAGTTAAGAGCCTTAACTTCTAAATAACTTGATAAAGACGGTCACTTTTTGATTTTTTTTCCGATTTTCGCGAATTGTTTCAGTAATTTATCGAAGCACAAGATTTCGTGGAGGTTTTTAATTAAATAAAAAAAACAAGCCTGCAAGCAAGGAAATCATTATTCAAGAAACCATACAGGGTGTCCCATTAGCATGAAATTATTTGCTTGCGTCTAAACAATTAGATATCGACCGAAAATAAAAATAAAGTTTTTCCTTAATTTTGCTAAAGTTATTTCAAGAATAGCAGATTTCATAGAAGCAAAAGCCACTTGCAATAGTTTGGTTCCCCATAGTATATTTTCCGTTTGCACGCATCGTTGACCAGCAATTTGCTTTTCTTGCGAAAATTATTCCTCTGTGTCTTTATTCGGGTTTTTGAGGAAGTAATGATACAACAATAAATTGTCTATTCGCCAAATTGCCAAATATCATCATCTTTGATGAAAAAGAAGCATGTTGCTATCTCCGACAATTTCAGAGAAATTCCTTTTCAAGAGGAATCATTTTCCTAAGACGAATTTCCGTAGAACCAATTGACTAAAACAGACTTTTTGAAATGAAAAACCGTTTTTTCGTTTAAATTTTTTTGGAACTTTCTACTGCGCCTTTTAATACTGTTTTTGTTAAAGAAATGTTTCAGTCGATTGAAACTAAGTGAAAAAATTGCATTTGTTCCTCTAAAAGCCGAAGAAAGAATCATGTGGCTATTTCTTAACGTTTCTAAGATTTTTTTTCTTTCTAAGAATTTCTAAAAAACGCTTTAATGAAGTACTCAGTGCTTTGGTAAATGCAAATTATGACTTAAGGATACACGATAAGTATTTGTATTTAATGCCTATTCTAATCGTTTAGACGCATTTCATACATACTGATGGAACACCCTATACAAACACGCCTACCCATACTACCTTGGAAAAATCCTTGTTATTTCTTATAAATTATGACTGCTTGTCTTCATCATTTGTCTATCTAGGCGGCTAATTATTTTTGCGTTTGCTTTAGCGGCGGGTCTTAAACCCCAATTATAATCGGTTTTTCGATAAATTGGCCAGAAGTGGTTCACTTTTACTTTAGTTTATAGCGAACCGCCGGATGCACGTTATTTTTGCGCGTTTGTGTAATGCTGATTGTTATTTTTGATTTCTATAGAGGGCTTCTGAATAATGGGACCGAAATAAATATAAACTAGGACTTTGTCAATGTTAATAAGGCAAAATAAACCGCAACAAATTGTTAGGCAATTTTCTAGTTGTTTGGGTTCAAAATTCTTTCCAAACGGGTTTTCCCGAACATTGTTTATTAACTGATTACTTTTTTATTTATTTTCCTGACTGCGTGTTTCCTTCTTGGGCTCCAGCCGAAGTGTGAAACAAAAATTTGTATATCGTTTATTTCATAACGTTTCGACGAGACAACAGCGTCATCATCAGATTTAAAATTCATACAAACTCATAATTGGGAAACATTACATTCTTTTAGGTCTTTGCTGTCTTGAAACCTTCAATTTGTTTTCGCACGCTGAAAAACAAATTGAAGGTTTCAAGACAGCAGAGACCTGAAAGAATGTAATGTTTACCAATTATGAGTTTGTATGAATTTTAAATCTGATGATGGCGCTGTTGTCTCGTCGAAACGTTATGAAATAAACGATATACAAATTTTTGTTTCACATTTATTAACTGATTACTCACGATACAAATGCGTGGTACAAGCACAGGGTTTTTCTTGCTATTTTGATGAAGAAACAGTGTTTTTTTTGGACGTATGCGTTTTTACACCCGTTCCGAAAATCACCTCAATATTATCACTTGTGACCTGTTTTATATAAAATCTGTTCATTTAACTAATTCCCTTGAACACTTAAATGTGTGACCATGTTTAGAAGTCAAGAGCAAATAAAATGATTAGATCGAAACTGGTCAAGACTTTTATTCCAATACTATTTTTTTTTCATTTTAATTTAGCTTTAGCTTTCAAGTAATACAGCTGTGTAATGGTCGGCATTGAATAGGCGAGACTATTATAAAATTATGTGTATGAGAACCTTGACTTTACATTGCATTAAATTCCAAATTAGTTCCTCGTCACGCCATGGTGCACATAAAAGTTTGCTTTAAAAGATAACTTTTTTTATTAAGTATCTGTTTAATAAAAACAGTCAGTGAGATGAATATCTATAAAGCGATAATCGCATCGAATGTTAGATTGTGTATTTTGTTTAGTTATATTGCGAGGCACTTTTCTCGTTCTTTTGTTCCCAGAGAGTTTCATACGTTTGAATGCATTATTATTTTTAATAATTATGAAATTTTTGTTCTCGAAACCTTTCTCTCCTTTGCAAAGACAGAATTTTCAAGCGAATTGAAATTGAACGCGGAAAAAATACAGTTACATTCGGGAAACAAAAATGAAACAAGTTACTTGCATAAGCATGTTATTATAATGAGGAAAAATCATCGATTAATACAATATGTATGAAAATAAACGCATGAATATCACAGCAATCGATCAGTCAGTTAAACAATATTTACCACGCCTACGCTACTGAGAATTTGCTCATTTTACAGCAATTGCAAGATAATTATTAATAAAATAAATCGGATCGTCCTGACTGGCCCAGTCTTGAAGTGGTCGCTGATTACGAAATGGGTTTTCTTTTGGTTCGTGCAGGACTTTAACCTGAGCAGTTGCCTGAATTATTTGCAAATCTTTCCGGATCTCTTGCAAAGTATACGCGGTTAGCAGTAGGGGAACCCCAGCATTTTGAATCAAACATTTAACGCTGCTCTTCCAGGGATCGTAGCTACTTTCATAAAATTCGTGCAGGCCGCTGTTGAATGCTACAACTATATCAGGCTGAATCAAATGATCAGCCACTTCATGGTACAACGATGGGTAACATTTCGCCTCTGCTGTAATGAAATTGGTTCTTTTTCTACAGTTTTCGCAAAATTGCCTTTGGATGTTTTGGAAATCTATGGGCAAGTCGGGGGCTTCAGGCCCAATAAACGCCACAGAAAATACTTGTAAGTTGAGTATCCAATGGAAAAATATTTCAATTGTTAACGCCCAATTTAGACTATACTCGAGTGCGGTTGCACCAACTATATGAATGCCCAAGAATGGCTTGGCCAGTTGGCGATTTTTAAGGATCCCACTTTGATTCAGTGCAAACAGAACTGTTAATCCACTCAGAATTTCATCACAACTATTGATATAGTTCAGATCTGTAGTTGATAAATGCCTGTTAGTCACATAATTGAGAAACTCTAAACTTTCCGGGATGGTTTGCTGATTAGGATTTGGTGCTTTCAACGTAAAAGCTTCCACAGGAATGTTGCGAAAAAAATAGCAATCCATGTCCGAGGACAACCGGAAAAGCTTGCAAAACTTTTGGTGTTTTTCCTGATGGCGCAAGTAGTGCTCGTTGCTGCAATAAAATGCACTCGAACACTGCTCACAATCAACCAAAATCTCCCTTTTGAAACAGACAGCACACACTCTGGGGAACATGAACATTTGCGCCTCTGCCTTCAACAACTTGCGGCCCAACTTCAGCTGCCATAAAAGCCCCCTTTGCTGAATATACCTTACAAGATCAGTGTGGCTTTTAACTTTGTATTGGATATAGTTATTTTCGCTGGCGATTACTTTGCAAAGCGCTTTGTGACTGTCCCATTCTAGTAGCTGATGCTCTTTGGAACAATACGCTACCACCTTGCACTGCGCACATCGTTTAATGGGGTGCATTAAGCGCGTTTTGCAGCTAGAGCAAGTGGAATGTGAAAAGAAGTCGCTGTTTCCCTTCATTTTCGCCTCTACTCGAGTTTGTGGCTCGTCAGATTGGGATTTTTCACTTTATATAACCGATGTTTATCCTCTTAATCGCAACGGATATTTTACTTTCATACAGAAAAACTGTTAAATTCGAATAATTCGTGTTCAATTCAAAAGGTTCTTTGTTTACCAAAACAACAGATATCTTAATCCAATTATGACGTTTTGGGTGTCATTTAATTAACGGCTTTGTGTTAGATTTGGCAACTTGCACGACTAGAGAATGGGGAAACCAACAATTCAAACAATTGCCATTTTCAGAAATAAAAATAGAAAAGGGCATTAGCACAGTGAAAAATCTTAAGAAATAAATTAAATAATTAATAGTGAGTATTTTATCGACGGTTTCTATTTTTCATAGCTTTGTTGCCAAACATCCACATTGATTTTTTTTGAGTTTGTCACTACCTAAAAACGCAAGAAGATAAGTCAAGCAACCGTAATGTCAGTCTCAGAAGAAATCAATATCAAAACCAGTAAAAAACCTTAAATTCTTGTGTGGTTTATAGATTAGTGAAATAAAATATTTCACTTCAGTGATGGTGTGTGTAGAATAAACAGTTGGCTTGTTATCACCACGAACATTGCGACTCAATCATTATGCAGAACGTAATTAATAGCGTTAAAGGAACTGCCTTAGCTGTGGGTGAATATTTGACCCCAGTTTTAAAGGTGAATATACGCAAGTAGCGTGCCCTGGCAGTAATAATAATAAATGCGAATTCAATCTTCAGGAGTCAAAGTTTCGTGAAACCGGCGTTTTAACTCCCGAAGAATTCGTAGCCGCTGGAGACCATCTTGTTCATCATTGTCCCACCTGGCAGTGGGCAGTTGGAGATGAATCAAAAGCGAAACCGTATTTGCCCAAACGTAAACAATTTTTAATTACGAAGAATGTGCCATGTTCCAGAAGGTGAGTTTAAGTTGACTGAAATTCAGTTTTCGATAGTGCCAATAAAGTATGTGTTTGTCGAGACGAGTGGACGAGCCTTCGGTTGCATTATCGGTAAATAATATGCATTTCATCCAATGTTCCAATTAATTAAACGTAAATATCTTGGTTTACACAAACATTTTTTATCGCAATTTAAAAATAATTTAAACACAAGTGTTTTTCCACATTCATCACATGATAGAAATATGCGAAATTGACTAGAAAGTGTTTGGATTTAAAGTAACTATAGGTGGTCATCTACCTAATTTAAAACCTTGCTGTTCGACTCAAACATTTCTGCTAATGATGGCTGAAAATATCTGGGATTTATTGCATTTGATATCAAAGCTATACCGAATTCCAGATGCGAGCAGATGGAATATTCAGATGATTTAGAGAGAATTATAGAGTCTGATGATGCGGACAATGGCTGGGTTGATACCCACCATTATGACAAAGACAATGCCTCCATTGAAGATAAAATATCTGAAATGACTCTAGAAAAGGTAAAATCATTGGTTTATATTTTGCCCAAATCTACAAACATTAACACAATTTGATAGAAATCTAGTGAAAATTAAACAAATTATTTATCTAGTTTCACTCAAATAAACCCGTGTTGCATACATGTTTTCAGGCAGAGAGCATGGAAGAAGCTGCACTGAAAACCGACAATCATAATAGTGATGATGAAGAGGACGATGATGATGAAGCGGCTGATATGGAAGAATTTGAAGAGAGCGGCATGTTGGAAGATGATCAGGTCAGATCAGAATCGATCAACAAAAATGTACTCTACTGATCTAATTTTGAATATTTAGGTTGCCAAGGTGGTCAAGCCCACCGCAACAGCTGGAAAAAGTGACGCCGATGAAGGAGAAATAGTCAGAACTCGCACTTACGACCTACATATAACTTACGATAAATATTATCAAACTCCTCGATTGTGGTTAACAGGATACAATGAGGTGAAACTTCAACCACGATTATTAACAAAAATATTTGGTTTCAACGAATGAATTTTCCAGAAACATGAGCCTCTAAGTGCCCAGGAGTTTTTCCAAGATGTAAACAAGGACTATGCCATGAAAACGGTAACATTGGAATCGCATCCTCATTTAAGTGGGCCTAAGATGGCTTCTGTACATCCTTGCAGGTATAAAATATTTTTCTCTTAAGAAAAGTGATTGAAAAAATACTCATACAAACCGGTTTTAATTAAGTAACATTATTTGTAGACATGCTGAAGTGATGAAAAGTATAATAGAAACCGTAACTGAGGGCGGAGGGGAATTAGGAGTTCATATGTATCTAATTATATTTTTGAAATTTATGCAGTCTGTAATACCCACCATAGAATATGATTACACCCAAAATTTTAAAATGTAAACTATTTTGTTGCTTGTTTTTTATCCTGAACTATTTTATTTGTTTACACTGTTAGATATATAATTATTGAGTAAATGTCTTCTGCAATAATGCATGAAACTCATTTTGTATTACACTTTTTGTTATTATAGATAAAAGCACGCAATTCAATCACAAGGTGTTTTTTTTCATTATTTGTAGCCGTGTCATTTTATAGCATAAAAAGGTTTACCTTAATAAAAACCGAGCATCTGTTCAGCAAATAGCTTTAGGAAGAAACAAGAGCTTTAGCTCATCGTCAGAAACGAGTTTTCATCGAAACCAGTAATGAAACAAACTTTTCCATCTTCAGAAATAAACGTTTGTTTATCCTCGCTGGTAACCGAATTGCAGTTGTCTTCTAGAAATTGCAATTCTGAGTTTAATAAATTTGAGCCGCTGCTAGCTATCAGCTGGAATGAAAAAGTATTCTTTTCATTAACAAAACCTCGGATCAATAGTGTTTATTGCCATTACCTCTTGCTGGGAATCTTCCTCGTCTTGATCCTCACTTTGTTCATTAGAAAGAATGTTGAAATTGACTAATCTTCCATCGGGAAGCAATCCTTGAAAGTTTTTATTTCCTGATGATACGATCAAGATTGGCTGACCGTCTGCAGTAGTGATGTTAGTTGCGTTGCCTTCGTGATCCAGTAAATCGTGTATTTGTAAATCAGAAGGATGAATCTATCAAGTAAAGGCAAAACATATAATATAATTAGAAACAATTCAAAGAAAAAGTCCTAAATGTAAAACGTATGAAAAAAAAAAGGAATTGTGAATCGATGGATTGCAGCAGGAAACACCCGCAACTTACAGGTAACGGCATCGTTTTCAGATCACCATTTTGCGTTTTTATCACAGGAATTAGATCATCGGAAATAATGGCAAGCTGGGATTCAGCAGATGACGAGGGAACTTCCGCAGGTTTCTGAACGGCCAGTAGCGATGCGGCGTCATTTTTCAAATGGATTTTTTTGTGCTTTTTCAGGTTACTACCATCCGAAAATGCTCTACAATTAAAAAGGCAATTGAGAGCATATTTTTCGGCTACGCCAGCAAAAAAATGCCTATAAGCGACGAGTAAAGTGAAGGAAAATACAAATCCAATAAGAACTTGCCTTCGACTATTCATTAGACCTCATTGCTACTCACTTGTTACACACGTCGCATTTATATTTCTTCACTCCTAAATGAACACGCTCGTGTCTAACACATGCCCATTGCTCTGGGAACGTTTTTGGACAATACTTGCAATGAAACGGTTTTTCGCCCAAATGCCGCCGAATGTGTGTATCATAAATATCCTTGTGAAGGAAGCTTTTCAAGCAGTACTTGCACGTAAACGGCTTTTCCCCTAAACAAACCAAATTAACCATTCACTTTTGGTCGGTGTATCTGGCATTTTACCACATTACCGGTATGTCGTTTCATGTGCAACTTGTGCTGGGATGAAGTTGTAAAAGCGCGCCCACATAAATTACATTCGAACGGTTTGTCTCCCGTGTGAATCCGTTCATGCTCCACCAGATTTCCTTTTTGAGAAAATGCTTTGTTGCACACGGTGCACTTAAACGGTTTAACTCCGTTGTGCCATCTAATGTTTAATAAATTTTAATTAATTAAACCCAAAAGGTTTCACCGCACTTACTTCAGATGCACCCATAGGGAGGCCTTATGCACAAACATGTTCCCACAAATCGGACACACAAACTGCTTGATTCCCTGATGGACTTTTTCATGCGTTGTTAGATTCGTTTTTGACTTGAATTGGCGACTACACTGTTCACATTTAAACGGTCTATCATCGCTGTGAACCGTCTGATGTCGCAGTAAAAGTTGCCGATGTTTAAACGATTTGTTGCATTTGTTGCACATGAACCTAAAAACTCATGGGAAATATTCGATATGAAAAAAATGGGGCATTTCTACTTTTTATTTCCATGCTCAGCGTTCTTGTGATACAAAAGGCTACTGGGGTGATGGAAGATTTTCTCGCATACATCGCATTTGAAGCCATCCAGTGCTTTGCTAGGGACCTCAGATTTATGCACAATCATATGATTTTTTAAACTGCACGCGTACGCAAATTTCCTGGAATCATTAAAAGAACTTTAGGAATTTTCTCTAGAACCATGTATATTATTAAAGCTGACGATAGTTGATGTCTTATAGACAGACAAATTTAAGGTTTCAAGAAGGCAAAGACCTAAAAGAACGTTAGTATTTACCAATCCTGAGTTGGTGTAAATTTTAAATCTGATGATGGCGCTGTTGCCTCGCCGAAACGTACTGAAATAAACGATATGCAAAATTGTCTACTTCACACTTTGACTGAGACCCAGGAAAGATAAGAATATTCTATTGATTGATGGTTACCAGTTTCATTTTATTAGCAAAACAAGAGCGAAACCATTGCTTTTTCATTCACAGGTAACACTTATAAAGTTCGTTGAAAAACATACACTTTACAGGTGGAAAAGTACCGAAAACGGTGCTTTGTATTTTGATAATAAAATTTAAATTTTCTGGCAAAAGCACATCATCGTAAATCTCTGCACAGCTATTTTTGATTACGTGTATTCGGACCACCTTGAGACAAAAGTATGCTTAAGGGGTTTAAACATAAAATAGTCGATTTTTTCAAAACCGTGCTTTGATTTTTGCTCATATTTAGAGAACCTGTAGAGTACCAGACCTCTAGTTTCTTCTACTGGAGAGAGCATTAACGTTCGCTCTTTTTGATCTCAAATATCGTTTTAGAAAAATTTCTCAGGAAATTCCAAAATGCCTAAATAGTCGATTTTGGCTACTGTTATGTGTATGATTGCGCCTAGTTAAGACTTACTTGTCACAGATTTCGCATTGAAATGTTTTTTTCTCGTCATGTACTGCTTTGAAATGCACCTCGTAGTTTTGTTTGCAAGTGAATGATTTTTCGCACTTATCGCACTGATAAACATTGTCATTGCGTTCGAATCTCTTAGCACCAATCAGTATATTTTCAGAAACATCAATGGCGTCCGGGAGCTGAACTATTCCATTCTGAAATAAATTCTTAATCATTTTTTATGGCCAGACAAATTGAAACTCGTTAGATACGTACAATCTTGCTAATTAACTCAAACGCGGAAATTCCTTGATGGCCAGTTTCATTCTGATGATTAACAATCACTTCCCGACTTTCATCTTGAACCGAGCAATTCTCATGCTCACAGCCGAACTTCAACTTGTGGCTCCGTTTGTGCATTTCGCATCTGCCATAATGTTGAAACTCCTTTTTGCATATTTCACACGTATACTTTGGTTTGGAAACGGCTTAAAATGTAGCATTGCAGCCTACTAAGCTGATATTTTATTCATTAGAATACCTCTCTTTTTAACTTTCTCATGTACAGGTTTGGTTTTCATGAATACTAACTGTTCAACCATCTCTTCTCCATGATCCTCCAGAACTTTCCCTACGACCGCTTTGGGCGCCTCGTTTTTTTCTGTTGGAGTGAAACGTTTTTCGTTAGATCCTCTTTCGTCTTGTTCGAAATTATCAGTTTCATCATCCACAATACCTTCCTTCTTCAATATATTTACCAATTCTTTTCCCTGAAAGTCCAGTGTAATCAGAATTCAAACCCCTGCATACTGGTAGAATTTAAGCAAATTTATATTTTTACAACAAAACAAAAATTTTACTTCTTTTTCCAATATTAAATGCAAAAGTAACTTGAAGATGTCGGTTTTTCTCGAAAACTTCAGCAATTGAAAACATTTTTAAAGCGGATCCATATCTATACAAAAAAGACACAAAAAGAGTTTTCATCGATTGCAACCGACAAGGATTTTGCTGTAAACTCTTACCTCTTATAAGTGTTTTCACTTTTTTTTAAAAGAAACTTACATGCACAACACCTGCGTATCGGGCAGGAGGGCGTATTTTCCGTTTTCGTGGAAGACTGGTGTTTTCTTCGGGGACTTCTTGCTTCATTGAATCATCTGAAACAACATGAGATCATCAAAATCATACCATTCTTACACAGGGTGGACCAGAGCAAGTGTGGAATCTCCCCGATTCGCAAATAACACAAGTTTGTACAATGTTCTTGTCTACCTCCTTCGTCCACAGAGCTCCAGGGTCTTAAAAATGTTTTTTTTAATAATGAGTAAATTGGAATGTTTTTATGAATAAGAGCGGACAATCGTGCATCAAAAGAAACCATTAATACAAATTTGTTTCAGCGCGATAATTAACAGAAGAGCAGAGCAGCAGAATTAAACATAACGGCGATTCTAAACATTATTTTTGCTGCTCTAATATACACCTAAAAAAATAAGCAATTACCCCAATCGGTATGATTGCTTCTGGAGCAAAAAAAGATTTTAAAGTCCGTTCTTGAAGAACTGAAGAACCGCTACCTCTTTAGAAGAAGGCCGGAGAAACTGGCATATTTGTTTTCTTCTATTCTGAATGCGAGAGATCGACCACCCATTACATGCAGAGTGTAGCTCATGGCTCATACCTAGCTCTTCAATAGGTGGTTCAGTTGGAGTGCTTTCAGCTACGGCAGCCTTTGGAGGTCTGCCTCGTTTCCTTTTGGGCTTATCCAGGCCTTCAGCGCGTAGAACCAGTTGGTGATCGGGTGAAAACAGGGGCCCGTCACTGTAAACTAAGATAAACGATCAATGAGCAGTCCCACAGACGCCTGTGTGAGCCCTCACTTTGGATAAGGTACTTTTCCCCATTCTCATCAGTCTGGATAGCATATGTTTCCACACTAGTGTTCGGGTTATGGTTCTGTAGGGCCTGTTCCAGTTTTTGCCGTTCTTTTTCTTCCCGATAACACTGATCTTTGTGGGACTTTAACAGATCCCTTAGCCTCTGTTGGCCCTGGATAATTAGGTCCATAAAAAGCTTGGTGGCCTCCAACTGGATATGACAACCAGGGCATATTGTTTTGGGGTACAAATCGTCGCTTATAACCTGTTTAGGAGACAATAACAATTTTAGAGGTTTTGTTATTGTTGCCATCTCGCTTTGACTATTTTGTTACTCAAATGCAAGAGGGACAAAAGGCATATACTGAGTAAATCAAGAACACTTTTGCTGGATTTTCATACGAACCTTCAATGGCAAATAGGTGTTGACCATTGTAAACAACCCCTCCGCATTGTCGTTGGGTTCATATAAACTGATGCCATTCTGGTTTTCTTCACTGCACAGTCTGCAAAGTCTGGAATCTTCCAACAACACACCAGAATCCAATTCCAGTTCCTCCATTGCTTCATTGACTAGTTGACGAAATTTTCGAAAAGTCAGATGGGAAGGCATGGTACAAGTAACTGTAAGGTGCAACGAAATGTTGCCAATTTTGGATATAGATGGCGGCAGGTTAAAAGAGTATTTTCGTGCTCGGAGCGTGCGTGCGTGCACACATCACATAAATCCAAGTGCATGTTTAATTCTGTAATAAGGGTTGTACCTATTTGTATTTCCTATATAGGAAATAATTCAGGCATAAAAAATGTGCAAAATCAGAATTTTACGAGTTTTATATGTGCGTTTCCAAATCTTAAAAATAACGAATTGTGGTATTTTTTTCAAATTTTCACTTTTACTAAATATTTTGCCAGCTTGTTGGTCTATTGTTTTCAATTTTGGAACTCTTTCTGCAAATGTCTCCATTTCATATTCAAAATCGAACCTTCACACCTCAGTTTAACTGTGATAAAATCTAGCTTTTTTTAAATCACCGTTTTACTATAATTACAAAAAAATAAAGAACTTAAAAATTAACCTATTTGAAAATATAATACTAAAAGCCAATATAATATTTACTAAATTATTGTGATGGGCGATGCAAGTAAATTACGAATCACGCAGTTATATATTAGTATCGGTTGTTTGTCGGTGCTGAATTTTTACGCAACTTTCTGGTTTACCGCGCTTCGACTTCTACTTAAAAACAATAAAAAAATAATATAAAATCAGCATGTTAATTGCTATATTTATGCCACTACTACTAACTTACAGAGATTTTTTAAATATTCATACGAGGAAACGATAGAATTAATAGAAAAAGGTAGACCCATGAACAGATGTTATTATTGAAAAAACTGGTGTAACTAGGAGGAAAATTTATACACGTAAATTTGTTAGATATTTATTTAAAACTTATTTATTTTTAAATTTCTGGCTTTTTTAATTTAATTCACCCCAACAAGGAGAAGTACTGAACAAGACTGTCAACAGAAGGATTCCGTTTGCAAAAAACGAAATTTTATTTATATTTCAGCATGTGTTTACTAATTGGTAATTTGGTTTTTCCCAATTTGAGGCCGTTTTCATTGCCACTGGAACGATTGCTGAAGCACGTTATCTACACCTAACAAGATCGAGATGATTGCTAATTGTTCAATATCGTAAATTAAGTTGAAGCATTTACACACGTTTTGCGACGATGTTCAATATTGATGTTTGTTAAACTTAACGCTAAAGCGCACAGTCTGCGGATACCTTCAGTCCAACCCAGCCGTTAAAACTGTAAGCTTTTAAATAAAAGTTTTCCAGTTAATTAATACAGTTTTCCGGTCTGAGAGTTCTTCGTCGAGTGTATAAAAACAATGTTCATTTGGCTGCAGTTTTTGTGATAATGAATGGTCAACATCTGCACATTTTTGCCATTGCTTTGCAACTTTTGGTGATAGCGAGGATGTAATTAAATGAGGTATTTTTTAAACTTTTTCACGTGTAATGTGCGCAATTTTTGCAAAAATCAACAATATCATTGGGTGAATTAAAATTACATGAAAACTTCTCGCAAAAAAACTCGATGGTTGAGCGCTTACGGAAATTTGTACGTGTTTTGGGGACAAATTATTATTTGTTAATCTTTCGACTGTTGCATTGGTAGGCCACATAATGTTATCGATTGACGAAATTGCCGATTGCATACAGAAACACTCATGTCATATGAACGATTATTTCTTAACAATGTCAAACGATAATTAATTTTTATAATCCACACATTCAAATGCGGTTTTTATTGCCTTCATTTATCTTGGACGCATTCATTACTTTTAATCGGCTGGCAAAGCGTTTGCAGTTATTCACTTTAGAAAATTAAGAACCGAGAAATGGATGGATACATTTTTATTTTATTGGGGCCAAAAAGACAATTTTATATAGATACACTAGGTGGAAATTTGCTCTGGAATAAATTCGGTGAATACTTTTGTTAAACATTCTTGTTAAACTTTATTGGAAAACTGACGAAATTTTATAAATTAAATAAAAATAACAGAATAACAATTAAAGAATCGCGTACTATCGACGATGATCGCGCCGACGCACTACGACAAAAGCAACTAAACCGAAAATTACGGCCACTAAAGATAAACACAAAAAAGCCGAATAATAAAAATAACTAGTCGAATTACTTTTAGTTGCACGATGACTGATCGGTTCCACTTTGAATTTGAACTGCGTCTCCCAATCTTGTACATTTACATGTTCAACATGTTCATTTTCAGTTTTATTGCGACTGTAAGTCTCAATTGGCAACGTCCGTTTGGTCCTGGGATTGGATGGATCTAAACAGGATTGGTCCTAAAAATATTTCCAGTATTGAAACTAGTGGGTTTTTCGGGTTTTTAGGCCGTCGTACAATAGAATTTCTTCCTGACGTTTCGCAAGCACGAGTGGCTTGCATCTTCAGAGGTGGTTTCCACACCTGTACGACGGCCTAAAAACCCTAAAAACCCACTAGTTTCAAGGAATGGCCTCGAAAGGCTGTTTTGACATTTCCAGTATTGTTATTTGTAATGCAATTTTGAAATATTTCCTGATAAAAATTACTTAAGAATGCTTGCTTTTCCATCTACATCAGGGACCTGTAAATTTCATGAACATTTTTTAAGTAAATACTTTAATACTCTGTGGTTGCTAATGACTAAAGTAGTCCATCCTACAGTTGCAAAAATACAATTCGCTCTTTAGCAGCTACTAGCATTTCGGCATTGAAACACTTTTAGGTTGAACTTAAAAATGTATATGTTGTATGTACTATTTAACAATAGAGCCGCTTCAACTTCAAACGCGAATAAATACATATATTCCTAATACAAAAATAAATTATACAACCTATGCAAATAATTATATATATAGAATATTCGGCGTATAATTTTCCCGTCAAGGATTGCGTCCAGTAAACCCAAAAGCATTGAGCTGACTCACTTGAAGAATTTTTAATTAGCGACCCTAATTGGCGCTGTTGAAACACGCCTGTTAAAGTTTTAAAACATCGTTAACACATTATAATTATCCCGAGATTATTAACATGCAGCATGGTGTTTATACGTTCACGTGACCAGACTTTCGCCATATAAACAAGCTGGAAATGCCGCCAAATTGCGAAAAAACAACGTAATTTTGCTAGTCTTTATGAGTTTTAAGTTCGTTTTGGGAATTAATGTTCAGACAATGAGTGGAGCAGAAAAGCAGAAAAGTCAATCAACTCGTTAAGGCGATGTGAAACAGGAAAATTGGAAATTAATTGCTCGATTTGACCAGCTGGTTGTTTCACTAGGTATCAAATTATTTAATTATTCACTGTACAGTTGGTACATGAAAACCCAATTAAAATAGAATTTAAAAAAATGGCAAACTGTATTTAATTGAATTGAGATAGATGGCGAAGAGCCTGCAAATTGCCGTGCAAGATGAAACCGATATTGAACAGCTTAAGAATACTTGGACGTCCCATCAAAAGATGTTAGATGATCTCACCTTTGAACAATCCGCCACGTTCAAACAGCCCTGCGTTCGTACAGAAACCACCATTTCATCCCCTTGTGGGGAGTCTTGGAACAGAAAAGCCCTAAAATTGTGTAAACCTGACCTCTTTTTCAGTTGGGATTTTTTCCATTTACCTAAATTGAAGCTCGGTGATAAGCGGATTGATTTTTTGCGGATGTCTCGGGCAAATGCTTCGCATTTCGGGATTCACGCATCCTTGCTGATTCACCAGCAGAGCAGTTTTTTTGGAATTTAGTCCTGTTATGAGTACCGGGCCTATTAGGCTGTTTTTCCAGCCTGAAAAAAACAATTTTATATTTTCGAACAGAACTGTCGGGAATTAGCGAACAGGAAAATAAATATTTAATAAAAACAAATTTGGAAATTTTAATTCAGAACCTGCTGCCCGGTTTTTTCCTTAGATTTCGGAAAATTTCCCCAAACTTAAGGCCCGGGGAACTAATTTCTTATGTGGAATCACCCCTTTAATGTTTGTAGAAAGTTTCATTTGAGAACAACCTGACCGAATAGCATTAGGACCCACCAAAAGATTGTTTGTAGAACCCAAACAATTTTAAATTGGCAAATAATTCAATAATCGCACCAAGATAAAATGAACTGAAACAGAAAAACAGCGGGAAGTTTGCCGGATTATGAACTAAAAATAGCCGAACATAAATCTGATAAGACAGAATAACTATTAAAAAATGTCGCATCTGGACACGCACAAACACTTAGTTTTATCAACTAGTTAAAAATTTGTTTCCTGGCAGAGAAACAGATGCTGAGAAAATATATGGACAATATTTAGGAAAAACCACTTGCTTTTTGGATGTTCATGTCTTGGAGTCGAAGTACGAAAAACTTTCCAACAGATAGAAAAATTAGTTCTAGTATTCAGGTAGAACGTAAATTGAATACTTGGGTGGACAAGTTGACTACATTCAATGTTAAATGGGTAAAATTAGCAAATTGCTTTTCCTTAGAGTGTCAGCGACAAAATTAGCAAATTATTTTGAACTAAAAAGAGTTTCGAACTAAAAAGGCGAGACAACAGCGCCATCATCAGATTTAAAATTTACACAAACTCATGATTGGTAAAAATCAATGTTCTTTTAGGTCTTTGGCTTCTTGAAACCTTAAATTTGTCTGACAGCGCCATCATCAGATTTAAAATTTACACAAACTCATGATCGGTAAAAATCAACGTTTTTTTAGGTCTTTGCCTTCTTGAAACCTTCAATTTGTCTCTCGCAGACAAATTTAAGGTTTCAAGAAGGCAAAGACCTAAAAGAACGTTGATTTTTACCAATCATGAGTTTGTGTAAATTTTAAATCTGATGATGGCGCTGTTGTCTCCATTCCCAGGAAAGATAAGAAAATCATAACAAGTACACGCAGTCAGGAAAATAAATAATTGAAATTAGTGTAGTAAAAAACTGTTGAAATCAATTTAAACTTCTTGATAGCTGACTAATTTTTGCCCAATACTCGGTTGTTACACGGTACTAAAATTTTATTTCTTCAGCATGATAGTTTTCAACACCGAATGTTAGTTCAGAACCATTTTGTCTGGAGAAAATCGCTTGCTAATTTTAACAAGTATGAGAAAAAATCAAAACAAACTAATCTGCGGGCCATTTTTAATTTTAAAATTATTTTCGTTAAGGGCCGCTTAATTTCATATTTCAATCGATAAAAAATGTATTTTTTTATAATTGCAATTTATATTTGGCCCTATACATTTTTGTATCGCAAAACTCCCGATATCCAAAAAGTCTGTGGCATATTAATTTTCTGCCCAATTTTATTGCACCTTCTGCTCTTACCATCTCCTTCATTTACCACTGTTCTCAACAGAAGACTTTCGCCCAATTCGAGGACGCTGTCCGATTGGACCTTTTGATCATAAACTTGACCACCTGGCTGCTTTCTGAATATGCCAATTCGAGTTTTTAGGTCTTTTTGAGATCCTCCAGCGGCTATTACTCCAGCGTTTGAACGCGCCCTGGAAATATGTCTAGAAAACAAGAAAAATTGCTTCCAATCATACCACGATAAGTTTATTTATACTTTTGTCTTTGGTTGCAATAAAAATAGTTTTTCCTAATTTGCAACGTTCATCTTTGACCTTATAAATGCAGCTTTTGCCCATAAAAATTAAACCGAAATACTTAATCGGGATAAGTCACAGAATCTAGTTGCAATCTTTGATTTGAATAAGACGAAACATTTTTTATAGCAAAAAAGATAGACTTTCGAGGCCATTCCTTGAAACTAATGGGTCTTTCGGGTTTTTAGGCCGTCGTTCGGTAGAATTTCTTCTTGACGTTTCGCAAGCACGAGTGGCTTGCATCTTCAGAAGTGGTTTGCTTGAACGCTTACA